AACGAGATCGGGTAGGTGTCCAGGCGTTGCAAACCTACCCTATTCTGCCTGACCGGGCCTTTCCACAATCAGGGGCCCACGCTCGCGCATAATGGGCCCTATGCGACCGCGTTTGACTGGATTGCAACAATTCAGGAACATCTACCCGAACGGAAGATTGATATATACCGCCCCAGATTGATGCTGTGACCGCTAGCGAAGTGGACGAAGCTGCTAGCGGATAACGGCGCCTTCCTAAAGAAAAATATGACGTAGAAGTTTGAAAACACAACAACTGACATTTATAGAAGCTTCCTGAGCATCGGAAAAAATTATTATATGAGTTCAGATAACAACAAACAGAGGAAAACAAAAAAAGGGTACCAGATCGCTATCGTTTGGGAAGCTTGCAGTAAGGAGTCCATGTCATGTCGCAATGTAAACTTACATCTACCACATGGACCCGAGCATCTCCAAAAGAAAGAATTCGACGGGCTGTGATATTATAACGTACACTGTTGAGTCCTGACACCTAAAATTTCATCGGTTATATATAAACAAGAGACAGAAAAACGTATATTGCGAGAACTTACATAATCTCGCTTCCTTTTTATCGCTCTCTGATCTTTCGTAACGACGGCGTAATCCCGCTTGCGTTCTATTCCATGTACATGAAGGAATGTGTTGGAACGATCGGTGGTAAGATTCGCAACGCGGGTGAGATTCAAATCACCATCTCTACAATGATCTATTTTTTGACGAAATATGGGTCTATGGAGATAAATCAAGATAAAAACGAAGGTACCTGATTCTGAGATAAAATTCATCATCTTCCAGTCCCCAGCCCCAATATTTATTTGACATTCCATTGACTAACTTGTAGTCATTCATGGTGAGCATCAAAATCCCTCCGATAAACTTCGAGTAATTGTACCTGAAGTACTTCAACTGAAACCAGATCACATTAATAGTGGAAATTTCTAGAAAGCAGAAAATTCACTTTGACTTGCAAAAAAGAAAAGGAATTTTGATTCATAATTAGCTAAAGGCAGTGGATCTGCAGAACTTAATAACTCAGGATTTTAACGCGATAGGTCGCTTGTTGCCTAAATATGAGTGCAAGGCCGGTCGCACACTATGCCTTCCTTGCCGAGGGAATTGCTCTCAACCTTACTCGCGCAAACCAATCTTACAAGCACTCGGACGAGTTGGCAACTCCCCTCTCACCATTGGAAGATGGGTAGGGGACTATATGTCGCCGATAGTGGCGGACATCTGCAACAAATA